AGAGGTTTGTGTTAATTTTCTGTCATACAGTATTTATCTAAGTAAATTATCTTCTTTTATATGTGAAGTTTCCACAGTATAGGACTGTATTTTATTCAGGCAATGTTTCTGTACAGCTGCTTGCAGTTAACATTTGAGAATTTTGGTTTCTTTTGTTAAAGTGTGTAACATTTAGGTGTCAGAAATGGAATTGTCAGAAATGGAATATAATATTCATATTTATGTTTTCATTAGTGTATAATCACCTGAAAATAAGAATCGTTTTTTTATTATCTCAGAATAAATCACTTTTATCTACAGAGGGAGACAGTCCTCTTCTAAAGTATATCTACAATAACCCAGAATAGACAAACCAAACACTGGCTTAAGATATGATCTGCATATTTTGTGGGTGAATGCAGCAGAAGCATAGCTTCATCCTGTGTCAAGCAGACACAGACCTGCAGCTCATTATGCACCCATGCCATCTTGTGTTTTATATGTGTAATATTGTTATGATGTTGCTTCAAGATAGTTGAGTCATGCCCATTTAAGCTGGAAGTCGCACATGCCCCACCAGATTTTTTATATCTTTTTTTTCATTGCTATTTTTTTTACAATATGTAATTATAGTTGTTTTATATCCAGTAATTAATGTTACAAACAGCGTTTGCATTGCAAAGTGTGTTTCACAGATAAAACATGAGACACTACGTTTGCTAAAACAGAAAGCTTCATATTGTATTAATATGTACAGTTGTCGACAGCAGATCCTGTAAGAATCACCCACATTCATTCATAGATCAGTGACCGATTTACTGACTTTCCTGATTTAACCACATTAAACCTTTTGCTGCTTCCTATGCATTGTGTTTGAACATACAGCTACAGTACAGTAACAGTGTGAATACTGGCCCGCATTCGCCAAGGTGTTAATTATCTCTTCATTAGTTAGGACTGCTTCTGATAGATTCCGTGCAGGCTCACTTAGTTCCACACTTCTTGCAGTAACATCCTTATGGAATAATATTTGGCCGGTATCGAAAACACAAGATGGTGCAGTGCCTTGGTCACCTGACATTTCATTCCATATATTCAGAGTTTCATTCCATATATTCATAGTTTCTTTGCATATATTCAAAGTTTCACTCTATATATTTAAGTTTCATTCCATACATTCAAGTTTCATTCCATATATTCAAAGCGTCATTCAATATATTCAAAGTTACATTCCATATATTCAAGTTTCATTCCATATTTTCAAGTTTCATTCTATATATTTAAGTTTCCTTCCATATATTCATTCAATTTCCTAAAGGGCATGCCATATACACCGATCAGCCATAACATTATGAGCACTGACAAGTTCTGTGAATAACACTGATTATTTCATTATCATGGCACCTGTCAGGGGATGGGATATATTGGGCAGCAAGTGTAAATTTTGTCCTCAAAGTTGATGTGTTACAGTTTTTCTCGATTGTTTACACACATTTTCTGAAAGCATGCCTCATCTCTCAGAACTCTACACACAAATCAAAAAACACACACACAATGGGCAAAACCCCTCAATTCTCCTGCAAAATGAAACTTTACATTCAAAACAATGTTATTTCATCTCAAAATGGTATTTTGTTTTCCGTTGACACACACAAACCATCATATGAATAGACATTTATAAGAACCAGTTGAACACTGATGTGCTCAATGTAAAACACTATGATGAATGGAAAACACTTCTTCTCCATTCAACATAATGACTTAGGCCTTTTTTTTGTTCAGTGTTACACTTACTACAGACAGTACATACATAAGTGAGTTGTAAAATATTTGAGAATATTGTTTTTATACTCAAAACACACAAATACACGGTAAGAAATGTATTTTATTTTTCCCACAAAAACAATGTACCCAGTGTACATACCAACCAACACAAAGTTGCACATACAGTGGTCTACATACAAAACAACAGAAGAATTTACTGTATACAGTTACAGTACAAGATTTGAGCAACTTTGACAAGGGCCAAATTGTGATGGCTAGATGACTGGGTCAGAGCATCTCCAAAACTGCAGCTCTTGCAGTGGTCACTACCTATCAAAAGTGGTCCAAACAAGGAAAAGCGGTGAACCGGTGACAGGGTCATGGGCGGTCAAGGCTTCCTGATGCTGGCCTGTGTGGTCTGATCCAACAGACGAGCTACTGTAACTGTATTTGATGAAAAATATACAATATCCCCAGACCCATACTTTAGGTAGCAAAATGAATTCTGCTCAGGTGCCAAAATATCCTGTTCAAGCCCTGAAACATCATATCATGGTGATATTTGACAGTCTGTGTGTTCAACTCTCCTCGGCGTCTTCAATTAGGGAGTTGAACAGAAGTAGATAAACAGTTGGCTTGCCCTGTGATGCTGCATTAATCGTTCATTTCATGGGTTAAAAGACCAATGTCAATGAGGAGGAGAAATTCTCATCCCATTATCGGCTTGGAGGTGCAAAGTGAACGCATCAGCAATGAAGCCAAGCATAACAATGATTACTGCACTACTAGAGCCTCAGATTATCCACATTGTTCCAATTGCAAACTCCTCTTCTCTTAGCAGCTGAGAGATTAACTGAAGACTACTCTTAGACTCTTCCACCTTGTCCACCATTTCTCATTGTCATAATGATAAATGGCCTGATGAGATAGTTTGTGCTGACAAAGGGCCTCCATCCTCAGTCTTTTATTTCGTATATCTCTTTCAGGGAATCAGAGAGACAAATGCATCACCCTCAGTATTGAAAGCACATAAATCTTGCTTTAGGAGGCCTGTCTCTCCTCAGATTCTGTCAGACAAAGGCAGAGGCTTCTATTTATTACCTCAATCTTTGTTTGGTTGGCTACTGTGTCTTCACAAAAATAATAGTTTTATAGATCAGCACAGATACACATTATAATCAGTGGTAATAAAGATAAAGCTATAAGGAGAGGGTGGAGGCTGAGGATCTCTAGTGCTGGCTTTGTATTATATCACACTTTTTTTGCATAAAAAATATATGCGCCCAGTTTTACATGCAAACACTATCAATATCTGTTTTAATCACAATTCATGCCTACAGTTTTTAATTAAAGTTTATCTTAGAAGCTGGCACCTTTCCTCTGCCTTCAGTGTATGAAAGGGTACAGCAGTGAACTGTGGCACAGAGGCAGAGCGGGTCGTCCACTAATCGGAAGGTTGTTGGTTTGATCCCTGCCTCCTCCCGCCACATGTCGAAGTATCCTTGAGTAAGATACTGAGCCCCGAATTGCTCCTGATGCTGTGCATCCGTGTGTGAAAGTGTATGAATGTGTTAGTTTGAGTGGTCTGAAGACTAGAAAGGCACTATACAAGTACAGGTCCATTTACCATTTAAAAGTGACATGTAGTGTTAATGACTAGAAAGGTACTATGTAAGTGCAGTCAATTTACCATAAACTGAAAAGGTGCAGTGGACATCAAAATGTAGAATATAAAGACAACAACATCATGTCTGGCAGTATGATAAGTGGTTTAAAAACCATTTGTTAAAGAAGGAGTTCAAATAAAAACTAAATTAAAAGCAAATCAAGTGTATATTGGAGAGAGTATGGGGGTTAATGTAGTGTGTGGGTTCCCTAGCTTGGAGTTCACAATACTAATGGTTTGGAGGATGAGACTTCTGAGTCTGTTGTCATACCAGGCAGTGATTATTCCTGCTATGAAGATTTAATTATCACCACTGTGGAATGACTGTAGAGTCTTTGGAGACATTCTAAATTTTCTCAGTTGTTTGAGGTGAAAAAGATCCTGCATTGTCAGTTCAGAAATGAGTTTTGAAAAATCTGCTTTATCTTTAATGTTTTGTCAGGTTTACACATTTACATTCTTTAATTGTGAAAACTGCCCTGGGTGAGTCCACTCAGTCAACATTTACTCGTCCACATAATGACAAAATATGATAAGTAGAATCTTTTCTTTCTTTGACTGTTAGTTTAGGCCAGCTCACAAACTTCATGCTTGCTGTGAATTCAATACCGTAAAAATTAAATTAAATAATTTGTTGGGTATAAATCAGCCTGTCCTGCGCTTTCTTCCACGAAGACTAATGTTGAGGCACTGCAGCTTCACACTTACTGCTGGTATTGTCTCGTGAACATCAATCTTTTGTTTTAATAGTGTCTCATTTGTTTACATGCCAGCACCGCGAAATGAAGCCGTAATTACTAGCCTTAATTGATGTGGTTTTACCACCTCAAACGATACTTCAGAGCCCTCCTCCCCCCTCACTGTAGAGGCCCCACTGCTGTTGTTTGCACTATATTTCTGCAGCTATTGATCGCTATTATGGTAAATCCAATGGGCACAATGGAACTCTATCAGCAAAATGCAGGTTAATTATCTCTGGGTCAACCACTTTAGAATCTTCACAAAGAGCCGGCTGTTCTCTCTTTATTGCTCAGCATTAAATTGCAAATACAAATTATTATCTGAGCTCCATTATTTTGCTAATAAGGGGGCAGGTTGGCAGTCATTAATAGAAGATGACCTCCCATTTTCCACAGATTGTATTTGCGAAGTTTTAAACATGTCAGGAGTAATTTATCCCTGGTTCTGTTGTTTTTCTATTCCCACGTTAATTACTTTTTTTTTAATTTCACGCCTGACATGTATATTTTGTCAACAGTGCATTAGCAGCAGCTTTTTAAGTATGCTGTCTTACATAAATAAATTAAATAAAAGAGTTTGCAATTACATATTTATATGTTCAAAGTTCACCTCAAGAGATTATTTCATCATGTCATACAAATAAAACGTTTACAATGAATTAAGCAGTTTACTGTGGATGCACACATAAGACATTAGAAACTTTTTTTGAAAGTTATATTTCCTGTTGTTAACAGAGCTGTCAGACATTTGACTAGCTTGAATTGGCCTAATAAGAAGGTGCAGAAATCTATTGATGCAAGGAACCAAAGTTAATGGAATTGATTGTGGATATTGTGTTTGCTTTCTGCAGGGACTCCAGTGAATCGGATTCCTATCATGGCCAAGCAGGTGTTGGATCTCTACATGCTCTACAAGCTCGTCACAGAAAAAGGCGGCTTAGTGGAAGTCATCAATAAGAAAATATGGCGTGAGATCACCAAAGGCCTTAACCTCCCTACCTCCATTACCAGTGCAGCATTCACTCTCCGAACACAGTGAGTACAAGCACAGTTGATAACCACCACTTACACTTACCAGGCCAGCCACAAGTGTTCCATGAATGAGATACTTAGTTCATTGTTCTTTGTTCATATTGTAACTAGCTTGTTTGTCAAGACTCTTTTGCTTTAATTAATCTGCTATGGTTAAAATTTGACAAGTGAAAAGCACAGTCACCTTTATTTTGTGCAGCAGTGATATATGTGGTCTTTACCTGCCAATACTTGCTGTGATTCATGTCATTATAGAATTGTCGATGGCTAGGCATTTAGTATGAAGCCTCAGTGTTGTTTGATTGACAGTGTTTTGTACATGATTTCTCACCTCACAGTCCCATTTATTGTTATTATTACGTTATAATTAAATAGAATATTACATTTTTTATTGATATTTCATATTATATTTATTGTATCACAATGACAGTACAGAACAATTGATAAACTGTACATTTAACCCAATTGTGAACACAAGAACTGCAGGAAGTTTGTGTAAAACAAGTGATTTGGGTGCATTTTGAGTAGATTACTTCCTGTGGATATTGTGTTTTCCCGATATTTTAGTAACTTTTTAAACGATTCTCTTTTAAAAATAAATAAATAAATAAATATATAATACAGACAGTCATACATACTTAACAGGCTTACCTTTTTTGTCAAATTCAGTGTTTTCTTCTTACTGTATGTCAAAATAATGACTTTGTAATAATGACAAAGTTTTCCTACACCCCTTAAAAGACTGGTCAGATTTGGTGGTGTTAACATGCTGCAGCCATAGCATTGTGTTTGCTTGCACTTAAATAACCAGGTTACTGAGAAACCAGGTTACATGGCTAATCAAAGAACATGTCACGTCGTATTTACCTTGTTACTAGATCCACGTTCATGCAGCACATAAGTAATCAGACTGTAAGAAACTAGAACAATTAAAGTGCTACGGTGCCGGTTTGTTTATTACACATTGCCCTAGGATAGACTCTTCCCCGCTGCACTAATGTGTCTCAATTTAACAAATACTCCGATATTTAGACTTCTTGAGGCTTAGTTAGTTTCAGTGTTCAGCTGAAATCATTTTAAATATGAGTAACACATCACTATGTGGAAGTTTTTGTCCTTTTATCCCCCCATTTCCTTTGAACTGAATTACTAGCAAAAGTCTATCGTTTAATTTAAAAAAAAAACATTTACATTTTTTTTTTTGTGGGACTGTTTCTTCAATCCCACTCCCGCCCTGCAAAAATTTATTGATTGACAACATGTGACAGAGTGACAAAAAGCCGATTTAATCATTGAATTATTCTTCTTCCCTGTAGGTATATGAAGTACCTCTACCCCTATGAATGTGAAAAGCGGGGACTGAGTTCCCCTGGTGAGCTTCAGGCAGCTATCGACAGCAACCGGCGGGAAGGCCGTCGGCAGAGCTACGGCTCTGCCATCTTCAATTACTCTCCCGTGGGCACCCCCACCCTCCTGTCATCTCCAAAGATACAGCTGTCCCACCTATCTATGCCCACTCACAACAGTGGTCATATCTCCCAGGTGCCTGTCATCAAGAAAGGTAACACAAGATATGAGACACAACATTTTAAGACATGACAGATTAAAACAATAAAATGCATGGCTCAAGAGGTGAGCGGTCGTAACTGGAAGGTTCCTGGTTTGATCCCTGGCTTTTTTAGCTAGTGTCCTTGAACAAGACACTAAACCCCTAAATGCTCCTGAGCCGGTTGACACCGGCCAAAAACTGCGGTTCCTCGAATGGCCACTTAAGGCTGGTTCCAAAAGTGAACCCAACTTTACTGCAGAAATAAACACGTTTACAGCCTGGTGTATCTCTACAGAGAGTTCATGACAACTGTACGGGGGGTGAATTGTTTTATAACTCACCCCTTTAATTTAGCTTAAAGTTATGCATAATTAAAGGGTGGCTCTTTGAGTAACAGGTGGGTGCTGTTACCAGTGGCTGACCACATTTCATTCAGTTCACCCACATTCCACCTCTTTGCCCATTTTTGGATTTTTCCGGGAGCCACTGGAATCAGGCACAGCGAAGATGGTGATGGATGGAGCCTACCTCACTGAGCTTTAAACGGGCTCTTCAGAAACTGACATCACAGAGACTACATCCATTATTTATCCTACTATTATCTAGCTCTGTGGTACACTGACTCAATTTCATGCTTGAGATTGAAATCATGTGAAACATCTGCAGGAAGTTTCACCCATTGTATGTTAACTATCAACAGTTGCAAAAATAAATAAAGCAGAAGAATGATGCATATGACATGACTTTGTACTGATGGAATATCGCTGTGTAAATGTGCATTGTAAAGAATTTACCATGCAATTATTATTAAAACTGGCATATATTTTAGAATGTATGCCAGATGACAAGATAACAGGTCAGATCCTAAACATCTTTAGGATTTCTAAAGAATTATTAATTTGCTCCATATGAATACTTTGTCAAAGATTGCACATGATCACAACATCTTTTTGAGAAATTGTTGCATGATTACAGAGCAACTTAAGAAGAAGTGAGTGTGTTTGCATGTCAGAAATTAATTTCACAATACTGCCCCAATTCTATCCATTCATACTCATGCAACTCTTGCGGGCAGTATGTTTATTTCCCCCAAAGAGGAAACAAGAGGACTTCCTCATATCAGCACTTCTACTAATGCACCACAAGAGCATGGGAGCTCTTTTATTCCTCAAGGGAAAAAAAGTGACTGACTGATCTGTGTAGTGTGCCATGGAGATATCAGCCATATCTAAAGCACAAGTTATTTTAGTCTTGTTATTGCAGTTAATACCTGGTTAAATTATTTAATAAGATCCATTATTTCAATTAAGAAATTATATATATTTAAAATCAGCCAGCATTATGTGGGCCCAGCATGAGGATCAAGGAAATATTGCAAATGTATTTATCACTATAAAACAGGGTATAGGACATTGGTTGTACAACCAATTGAATGTTTGCAGTTCTTTCATAAAAAACATACATAAAAAAAAGATAATTACATTTATATTAGATTACCATAAAATACAATAAAACTATATATACACTTATTTATACAAATATATACATAAACACGTATACACCCAGGAAATAATTCTGCAGTGCATCTTTTGAATTTGTGACAGGAGTAATGTAAACGGCAACAACAAAACAGTGATGATAATATGGTTTTCTCTTCACACAAAAACTTTGACTGCATTTGAGACCAAGCATTATTGATTTAAACAATCCTCTTGCCCTCTGTAGGCCTAGAACACGGTCCACCCTCCCATTGTGTGCCTTTGTTGGTCATTATAGGGCCCTATATGGACTACAACTGTGGCCCCAGTCAGCAATACCAAAAGAAAGTATTACATAAATCAACACGTGCAAAACCATATTTACCCCACATGGTAAACACATTGGCATCCTGGCTAGATCTTTAGATATTCAGAGTCTGCACAGTAGTGATCGCAGCCATATGCCTGACTGACTCAGTCGTGAGCAAGGCTCAGTTGTCAATCATGACATAAAACCCTTAATTTCAAACAAATTAGAAAAATTAACACCAAAGAACTACCTAAAATGACAGAAACCATCTTTGAAAAAATCTACTACTGTATAAGTAACTACTAGTGGCCTTTAAAAAACACCTGACCAGAAAGCATGTTGAAATGAAGACAAGCTGTCAAGATGTAAAACTGTGTCCTGTGAATATTTCAAACCTACATCTCTTTCTTAATGCATGTCACATTTTTGTAGTACAATGTGTTTATACCAAGTGTAAACCATTAACCTGTAAATCTTGATTCATATTTGATCAGCACTGTCTTATTTGACAGTTTGATCTGAGTTTGGAGCATTCTGCTGGACAGACTCACTCTAAATTGGACCATAATTTACTAAACATCAAGCTGTACGGAAGAAGACTTGAAACTAGTGATTAAGACCATAAAGTCATTGGGAAACTGTTTTCTGAGCTAATTAAACAAGTGAGAAGTCGGGTAACATCTCCAGAAGACTGCATGGTATAGTTGTGTTATTGTGGCCCAGACTTGTGTTTAGAGACAGATATATACTAGATATACTTCTTAACAGTCCTTTACTCTCCAGAGGAGCCCATGATGGCCAGCTGCCTGCCCAGCCGAGGGGCCCTCTCAATGTTACCCAGCAGCCATCGCGCAGCAGCTGTGGCCGCCCAAGCAGTAGCAGCCCAGGCAGCAGCGGCTGTCCAGGTAGCAGCCTTGGAGCAGCTCAGAGAGAAGCTGGAGAGCAGTGAACCACCAGAAAAGAAGATGATGTTTGTGGCAGAGGAGCAGCAGAGGATTGTGCAGCACGCCCTGCAGCAGAACCTGCTGGCAATGGCCACCCAGCTGCCCCTTAATATCAAACTCAACAACAGAGGTGAGACACTCACAGGAGGTTTAAGTACACTGATCTGTGTGAAGTTAATATGTTCTCTCTGTGTTCTCTAGTTGTAATATTGGTGAGTGAATCAGTTTCCGTTTCTGATTAGCAGTTAGGGGGGTTTTGGGCTATGCATGAAAAGTATTTCACAACCTTTATTGTATACCCCTGGGAAAAAATACAGGTGACCACAATGGTGGGTGCAGCCAAGCAAGAGGTGGCAGTACTCAATAAGAAGTAAGGGTGCTCATTTGGACAAAGATCTGGTGTGTACTGACGAGTACCGGCCCATTTTAGGCACTGGTCGGAATACTAGAAAGGTGCTATATAGGTGCAGTCCATTTATCATATATATAAAAAAAGTTAGTAACAGAATGAGATTCTTCAGGTTTGAAGCTCAGTATGGTGCTGTTTGCATGTAAGAGTGTTTTGTCTATTGATTCCTCTGCATGTACTGTATCCAAATGGGGAAAAAAATCCATGCTATAATGCCATCTGTGTCCCCTTCCTTACACTTTATACACTTCACAGGCAATAAAGTGCTCCCAAGTTTATTCCTACACAGTCTGATGATATACAATATTTTTCTTAATATCTATCTCCTGAAAAGACCCAAACCAACAGTGAATATATTTAACTAACAAGTGTTGGGTGACATGTTCCTCCATTACCATGAACTAACACACTGTCGTTTATTTTGATTCAATCCCACATACATCATCCTACTGCCCCGAATACTCACTAGCGCACCAAATGTGAATTAATAAAATGCTCACGGTTTTAGGTGCCAGCTGTTTTAGGAAATTAATTAACCTTTTTTTTTTTTTAATTTCTATTTGTTAGGTGTTTTTAAAGATTTATGTCTTCATTAGGAACCAATGGTTGGGGCTGTGTGCTACAGACAGGGAAGTCAGAAAGTATTATGAGATGGACTAAGACATTGTTGGTTTAGTTTTTTTCATGGGATGTAAGATAAGATGTACCTTTATTGATCTTATCTTATAGGAAAGGCTGGCATTATTTTAACAACAGCGAAAGACTCACAATGTGGTCCAAAAGACAGAACTATCAGCTCCATAGATGTTATAACAGTTATTCTCGACCACAGGCAGAAATCAGCTTGTCATGAGTAAAAATGCCTGTATTGCTGGGCTTTGGCCTCAGCCAGCACAGCTCATGACATGCCATACGTCACATATGACTTAATGATAGAGGCTAAAGGAAGAATAAGGGGCCTATCTGCTCAAGTGTGATATCATTTCTGTCTGCATCACTGCCTCTCTCATATTAGTCATAATAGCAGGCTTTGCACTTGATATGTGATGGAAAAATGAGTGAAAATCTTTCTCAGGTTAATTCCCACACTGGTCGTCTGGCTCTGGCCCTCACACAGAAACACGTCATTTAAAGATTACATCCAAACACTATTATTTGTCTCCACCTTGATGCACATAGACAGATAAATTTGTGTTTACAGATGGTTTGATATTACAGCAGCTCACTGAGATTATTGTGTGTGTGTGTGTGTGTGTGTGTGTGTGTGTGTGTGTGTGTGTGTGTGTGTGTGTGTAATGTTTGTCCATTTTCCTAAAACATTACTGTTATTTAAGAACCAGTCACATTTATTCAGCCAAGTTTTCCAACTGTATGCATCTATACGATTCATCCATAACTGCCACGCACAAATGGCTGTAACATCTTTTGACAGTTCTTTTTCCCCAGAACTCTTTAATAAAGGTCTCCTTATCCTGTCACTCACTGAATTATCACCAATACTCCACCAGGACGCTCCTCTTGCTTTTTCTGTTCCCTTTCTAAATGCTCATATTGAGTTTTTCTCTCTCTCGTTCTCTGCCTCCTCTCTTGACAGATGATAGACAAGAGACCGCATTGAACCTGTCTACCAGCGGCATTAGCAGCATCAACATGTCAATAGAAATAAATGGAGTTGTCTACACAGGTAAATAGAGGGGCCGTTTGCTGATGTAATTGCAGGCAGGAAATTCAATAAGTTATAGCAGCACCCTGGTGCTTAGTCCTCTACGCAATTTGATGTCTTCGCTATAAAATCCATCGTAATGAAGTGGCAGTCCAATAGAGTTAAAAAAGTTAAATATCTCAGAATTGGGCCTGTGGATTCGAGGTCGATAGGGCTTATTGTCTTATGTTCCTGCCTAGAGTGTGTGTATGTGTGGGTGTGTAGGTAGGTAGCTCGTGTCTTGAGGTAATTACTGCCTCTCTGCTTTAACATAGGCCATTCATGTCAGGGTATAAGCCTGGTGGCTGTCACATCATATCTGAGTTCTTTCTCCGAGAGCCAGTATTCAGTCAGAGTGTTGACTTGATTCAGCTCATCCTGCCACAAGCTGAAACTCACTTCAATCTGTTTTTGGGTCTGCTGAAATATACCAGTTACTGCTGTTAGATGACTCTTGACTGTCTTTGTATTATCTATATAATACTACAGGTACTGTAGAATTTAGATGTCTTAAATTCAAAGGTACAAAAGGTATTTACTAGTTTTAACACTACATTTTTATTGGTTTATTTGGTTTCTTTATGTCTTTTTGTCAGAGTTATTAACTTCAGGTCAATTTTCTTAATATAGCACTAAATCATAAGTTCTCAGAATACTTCAAATACAGCAGGCACAGACCATACTCCTTATTAAGTTTATTCACTCTCTTCAGCAGTTGAATCAGAAGTTTTGATCGCTTGTTAAACAAAGCTAGCATAGTCATGTCAAGTCAAGTAAGTTTTACTTATACAGCCTTTACAATCTGCACAAAATACAACAAAAATAGAGAAGTCTCAGGACTAGAAATAGAAGGTATCTATTTTCCAGGACAGACAAATATGCAATAGATCATATTTACAGAGTAGCCAGTAGTACAAGTTGTAATATACAGAATTATAATATAAAACGTTCTAAAATTGTAGCTGTAGTCAGAATTGATACTATTACATTTAGGCCACCACTTGTTTAAAGTTCTTGCTTTCTTTCTAATTATTCTATCAGAATCCATTTTTGTTTGTAAAAACATGAAACAGTGCAGTCTAATGTGTTTTTTCAGCCTATTCATCCCAGTGTCCCTTGGGGGGTGGTCTAACTATACATTTGAGTATTTAATTTTTGACTAGTAAGAATAACAGTGGAACTGTAACCTTGTCATTTCAGAAATCAACAATTTCATTATCATATCATATCAACAAATCAGTTTTTCTAAGTCAATGGTAAAAGATTATGATTATCTACAATGAACATTGTTATATCAAGAATGAACATTTTGACCAGTGAGAACAGAGTTGTAGATATCATTAATTAGAATTGTAATTGTTATTACATTATGAATACATCAAGTTGGAATTATAACATGTCATAATTAAATGTTTGAATAGAAGTCAATGGTAAGCGTTAAGATTAAGATTACAATTAAGATAGTCAAAATTTCCACTAGTAAGAAATTAATTGTTTATATCAAGAATAAACATTTTTAATAGCGAGTGTCGATGGCTTTAATTCAAAATTCTATTTGTTTGCAGTTGTTGATATTATTAGATAATGGTGCAATTACCACTATTAAATGTTAAAAGGGTTTGCCATAGAGCTGTACTGGTTAAAAGTGAGGCTGACAACTGAAAAACATGGCTGAAAAGCATCCTGCGTAGACTAGCAGTAAGATAAAGCAATGTCAGATCTATGAGGGAGTGGGAACATCAGTCATTGTTTGAGGTGAACATTGGAGGGGGGACCTGGGCTTTTTTGAATATGTGGAGGTTGTGTGTTCAAATAAAAATAAAGTCTGCACTTTATTACCATGCAATGGTAACACATTAGGTTTTCTTATTACACTGTATTTAGTGGAAAATAATGGCTGCATGGAAGGTATAAAAAAGACAATGGTGGACAGTAGTGTAGAGTAAATTACATAAAAAAGCAATGGCATGGTCCTTTAAGAACTGATGCCAGGACAGTGTGGAGTTTAAGGCTGACTTGATGCTTGTTTCACAGGAGTCCTGTTTGCTCGTCAGTCAGCCATAGCAGCAATGACAGGACACCATGGGAGACACAGTAACTGTCAGACTCAAGGAAGGACGAGTCCCACACAGTTCCAGCCCTCCTGTTCCTCCTCATCCTCCTCCTCTTCCTCAGTCCACGGGCACAGAAACTCCTCCCCCTGAGTTTCACCCTCACTTCCTCTTTTCACCTCATCAGGCAGAGGATCTATTTTCTTCTCAAAACCACAAAGCAGTTGGAGACATCATCATCAGATAAACTGCAGTTGTTTTTGAAGGTGGTTTCTCTCTCCATCCACTTGATCAGATTCATTGTTGGTCAGCTAACAACAGATTGAGAAGCAGCAAATTTGTATTTACAAACAGAATACTTTACCAAAGAGATCTACCCACCCCCTTATCCCTGGTCCTTCTGCTCTGAATTAGCAATGTGTTTCGAGGACATTTAATCTTTGTGTGTTACCATTGTTTTTCATGTATTCAAAGGCGTCAGTTCAGTGTGGAACACTTGAAAAGCGTGGTTGTCCACCATAAGGTGCAACCTGGATGAACCCAAATGAAGACTTCCTCTTGTGCATCAATCAAAACATGAACAATTAACCTTAAACAAGAAATTACAGTTGTTGATGATGTTTGAAGGATTACTGACAGACCTCAGAAACTCACTGTTTACAGCAGATACCAAAGAAGAAAACAAATCTATGCTGATTTATCACATCCAGCATTTACACTGATCTTAAGCGCCAATGATCAAACCTAAAGATTATAGCAGGAATACAAACAGACAAAGCACATCCGATGGAAATCATCATGTATTGTATAGAAGCTGTCAGACTGCTGAGTCAGTATGGTCTCATCAGAGACTTGTGACAAGTGACAAGCAATGGAGCCAAGCAAACAAGGTTAAAGTTAACACATAGCTCTATTCACTTGTAACAAACAGTGTGTCTCAGTCCCATATTGTATAGTAATACTGTATATATGTAAGTTATCAAGATCACATTAACCACACATCACTCCAACCCATTCAGCCCAGAGTCCCAGACCCTGGCCCAGGTTTGCTGTGTGTCATTAGTTTGTAATCATTTAAAACTTTGGATGCAGTTTCCCTCTGCAAGATGGGATTTTTTTATTGTGCTTTAGTGGTCAAGTACCAAAAATGATAATGTATCAAATTACTCCAAAATAGCTGTACAATTAATAACCTAAATGTTATAAACTATAAATGAACGTTGATAGCACACAGTATAAAAGAAATTGAAGAACATGTGGAAATGCACATGTGCACAGTCAACTAAGCTGAGCTCAGAACACCATTGGAAATTAGACATCATAGATATATTACTTACACTTCAGAGAACCATGGTTTTTTTTTGTGTGTGTGTGTGTGTGTGTGTGTGTGTGTGTGTGTGTGTGTGTGTGTGTGTGTGTGTGTTTTTTTTTACATTATCCCAGACACGAACTGGCAGACACCAAGATTGCACCCATTAATTCATAAACTTTACATTTAGATAATGTCACACATAAATAAACAAAAAAAAAAGGTTTTCCAGGCTCAGGTAAGGAAATACATGAAATGTTATATTTGTTAAAACAAATATTACATATATATATATATATATACAGTATACAGATATTGGTGGTATATGAGGAAGAATTTTGGGCCACTGGAGACTTTTTAAATGCAGTAATGATGTTGGCCACAGGGATGTAATGGCAGCAAGGCTTCTTGCCCCAAAATTACGTTGTGTATTGCATTTTGGGACATAAAAAAAAGCATTCAAACATTTTTTTGACACAGTAAGGATTAGTTTATAATATGAATTTGGGACACAATTATTATCTCCTGCAACAAAATGATAATGGCTTTGGCCAGACTTTTCTCTAGATGTGGTGCAGCGCTAAAACACAGTGTGGAGAAGGGTCTGGCAATACGAGATCACATGAACACGTTGTTTTCATCATAGAATAAATTATTATCATAAACAAGCTTGTTAGTCAAGACCACAGAATATCTTCCTTGACAAGAATCTTGTTCTCTCTGCCTTCCAGAGTGTACAAAGACAATGACAGGTTCAACTGACGTAATGATAAGCATTGTTCCAGTCCAGTGCTTTCCTCATTCATGATCGTAAATATTGCAATCAACATCATTGCTCCACTGGTTGCGGTCAGACATACTTACAAAAGTATGTCAGAGCTGCATCACATGCGATTGCATTGTTCTTTAAAGAAATTGACTAAAGCCAGGACCACCACCATGTAGAAACCAGTGGCGGTAGTTAACATAATAAAACAGTAGCAAAAAGCTGATTTGATATTGGCTGGGGAAAAAATTAATCAAGAGAGTCCTCACATGGCATTGAATTGTTAGAGAAATTACTGTGAAAGGGAAGAATAGAGCACTTCAGCGTATAGGCAGCAGGTGAAAAAAAATACAGGAGATGACAGCAGGACATACAAAGACATGAAGCCTATAGGAAATCACACTGTAGGTTTATGTTGTGAATAGTGTTGTTGTTTTTTTAATGCACTTGTGTCTAACATCAGAGAGCTTCTTTAATTTTTCTCTTTTTTTCCCTCTGCTTTCATGAAGATATTAACTATTTTCTTTATTGTTAGGGGAAATTGTAACCAATTGGACGATTTATGGATTTTTATTAAGTCTGTTAAAGCATTTAATTGCAGATTTTATTTATTATGTTTTATATTCGATCCTGCAAACCGTGCATTCAGCGCCACCATTTTATTTGTAAACCCTTTATTAAAGTTTTCTTAAATGCAGATACCTCACCAGTCTACTTGTATATAGTCATAGTAAAGCATGAATACAAGATATACCTCATAAATTTCATTTATTTGTATTGTACACCCACTTGAAAATCAATGTTTTACTTCAACAGATCACTGGATTTTTTTTCTTTTTTCATATTTTGTATGGTTATACCAAAGGGAATATTTTATTGATACACATCTACCTCATTTGTTATAAAATGTGCCAAAAAGCATGTCCACAATCTCAATTGCCAGTATATTAATGGTGTTTCATATCCATGTATTTGTGTGAACACAAAATGCTTTTCAGTCAAAGAATAAATAATAGATTATGCTAGAGAATTAAGCAACAAGTGCTTTTTATGTTAGGTGTTGTGCCGGCACAACAAAACAGCCTTATGTGAGACACAGTAGGGATGCTTATCAAAACAAATCCAATCTGCAAGAAAACATGAACATAAAGAGGAAGACAGCACCTCGTAACAACAGATGCCAATGACTGATTTTAAATTTGTCCTGTCAGCAATGTGGCCCACTCACTACATATGTTAATCACACTTTGAGAACCACATTTAGTTGTGTGTTTAAAAAAAAAAAAACAATATAGGCAATTATATTGGATTTTTCTCAAACATAGATATCAGTATTAACCTAAAAAGATCCAGTATCGGGCAGGCTATAGTCAAGAATGAACTTCCCTGCTCAACTCTTCCTGTTGAATCTCCTCTGTTACCAATTTTGCAGTGCGCTTTCACCGCGCAGCTAAGCTCCAATCTGCCATTTTGGAAACGTAAATGAAAGCTAAAAAAGTATTTAGCTACAACAGGTGTGTGCAGGCCATGTGAAGGAGGTTTTGTTTCAGGAAATAAGCCAGCCTTCAGTAAGTGAAGATGCACATAGAAACATGAGAACCCATTCCAAAAAATACTGGCATCCTGCAGGTATTTGTTTCCAGGAAAGAGAATAGATTTTGGGGAGAATTCCTGGAAAAAAAAATAGGTTTGCAATTTCCAGTATTCAACTATTTGGTCTGTCAATCTGTGTGGTCAATATTTACACTACTTACAATACATACAACTACTGGCCAGAGTTCTATCAATGTCATTTTAACCAAAAACTCCTCCCAGTCTTTATTCTGGCAACCCAATCACTTCAACAGGCAGGTTAACATTATTTACTGAGCACAATCATGTTCCCCAGTGGATGAACATTTAGAGCTTCACTACTGATAAATCTCTAAGAACCGACTTGTTGTTTGTTTTTTGGAGTTGTCGTCTTCTTCTTCACTGTGAGGAAATTTTCATGCAGATTGTTCACAGTTCTCGATTTTAAATGCTATGACTGATGACAATGTAGTGCTCCAGGCTGATTACTGGTGATAAAGCTAATAATATATTGTGTTACTATATGTATAGATGGTCATATTGAAATTGTACAAACACAATCGTGCAGCAGAGGACAACCACAACCACAAGGTGGTTCTCGTGATTACTTGAAATGTGTTATTTAGCAATCATCAATTCTGCACGTAGATACAGCAAAGGTCCAAGAAACTAATCACTTCCTCAAGGGAGATGGACTAGACAGAGCTCTCTAATCTGGAAAATCTGGAGCGTTGTTTCAGACATGGTGTTACTCATGTTGTCTTGAACTCGTGTCTCCACAGACCTTAATAGAGTTGCAAAGTGGGAGAAGTAATGTTAGGGATCCAGGGTTCTAAAAGTAAAAGTCCAGTTTAATTTCACTTTGTTAGCCAAGTCTCAGTTGGAACTATTTAAGTCTCCTGGTTGAGTAAACAGTACAAAAAAATCAATTGTGTTTGTGCAAATATAATTTTTCTGATGAGAAGTCTAAGGACATTACACTCTTTTTGTTGTACATAAAAAAGAGATGTCAACTACTCAACTTCCAAGGTACTTTTCGGTAAGAAACATCCAATGATAGTGCATGTTAGCTACACATGCAATGAATCTAAGACTCAAATTTACACTTTTAAGCAACCTTTTGTAAGTTAATTTTGGAAACTATCAACATCATCATTTGTCAATTGCCTAAAACCACATAATTGTTTTACATGGACCCAAAACAGACACCTCATGGTCATGCAGCTAATATGTATTTCTCAGACAATCAATTGTTTCCTAACTCTGACCTTTATCAAGTAGTTCTATTTTAACCATGACCATTATTGTTCCATAAAACGTAGACTTTTTGTAATTTTGTTTTGGAAGACATTGACATATATGCACCCCACAAATAGGGACATTAGGGGAAATATTTATATGGGTAATTTGGCAGACAATGACAAAGTAGTTTAGTTGGAAAAAGACCTTGTGGAATTTGTACCTCTGACTGGCTTCTTCTCCCCACCCAGGGTACCAAACGTCAACAAAGAAAGTTGATTTAATTGAAACTGATGGCCATCACATAAACCTGACCAATCATTCAATTGTCCAGGACTCAATGTTTCTCAACACAAAAACACAGACTATTAAAACCAAATAGAGCAGGTAAACACTTCTATAAGTAGCTCCCTCTCCCACTTCACAACTCTATAGTATACTCTCATAAGAAGTGTCCCATGGGTGATTCTGTCTTGAGTCCAGTCACCAAGTTACCATTTTTGATCATGAACTATATTCAAGAATAACTAAAATCCAAGACCATCAGAGTATCACAGTCATAGATCTGGAACAGAGGCTCTAAACACTGAAATTACAAACTCATTGGGTGGTAGGAGTCTGTTATGGTGGAAAAAGGACTATGTCGGGCATGTGTAAAGCAACAAAAAGTAATCCATTATTCAGTACAAACAAAATTTCAGTGATTAAGGAAGAAAGCTTTTTTTTTTATGTATTATCATATGTATTGGCTTTAATGGTAGAAACATCTCTTTGTCAGGGTAAAATATGTTTTTTTTTTAATTATTATTTATAAATGGTTCCATTATTCCACCTTAAAAGTTGCTAAGGAGATTGTTGAGATTGTTTTGCCAACAAGATTCTCCCAATAATACATTTTACAAATCTGAGCTGAAAATGCTCTGAAATGTCCATGAGATGGAAATTCAGGATTGTGAAGCGGAGTATGATGCCCCTGGATCAGGACTCAGTCAGGACAGTGTACTTTTTTTATTGTCCTGATAAGACAGGAACACCTGGCTCCTCTCTAGTCTATTCCTCATGAATGCCTCTTCCTCAGCCACTCCTCCTGTACATACTGCTGAATAATACCAGTCATTGAACATTTCAGATGACTTTGAAACCCCTGCATGGAATCACTGGCATTATTTTCACCAAAGACTTTTTCAAGATGTGACCACACTGATTTTTAGGTCATAACCAACAGCAGAGCAGACAGGCAAAGAGAAAGCGACAGCTCTGCATGCAGAAAAACAATGAATTGACTTGTATAATCAAATAACATGTTGTTTACTTTGTATTTTAGCTATGCTATGCTGTTTGAGCTTGGATATGCTGGTAGTTTTTAAAAACAAAACGCTTTATTAGCTGTGTTTGAAGCTTTAAATGTTTGTTTTATTTCCCTTTCGTTCATCTTAGATGATCCAGTGCATTATGGGAATCCTGGATTATGATGCTCAGGGGTTAAAAATGTACAAAAAAGAAGGTGAAAGAGATTTTCCTGTTTTGCCATTTGACATGTAGCGTATTTAGAAATAAAATCATGCTTTTACTTCAGTGAAACGCTTCTGCGCCATTCTTGTCCTCTTTATTATAATACTGTGTCAGTACCTGAATTGGACCAAAAAGGTGCTAGTACACCAATTTAGCACAACCCTACTCACAACATACTCCTAATCCTAATTCTTTTGGTGTTTTGTTAGACTTTGGCAGCATTAAGCTAACTATGAGTTTACACAGGGACACCGTTTTACGCAAGCGTTACTTCCCATATTCTGCCCCTACTCTGTCTCTGATGGCTCTGAACCTGACTGTTTTTACCCTAACCATCTCAGCCCTCATGCCTATAACCAAAACAAAAAACATTATACTTTTTCTGTAAATGTTAAAGATTTAAAGTACAATTCCTCTATGATTAAATTTAGACAATTACAAAAAAAGGGTTTAGGCCTAATGAACATTTAGTCCATTAGAGACAAGGATATCCAAATTGCTGTTCTTTAAACAGATAGTTTTGGTTTTATTTGTCCAGGTTTGGAGATATCTGTCTCTGAGAGTTTTGCCTCCACCCAAATACTGTGAAGGTCAATGTTATTAACATAGAAAACAATTAAAATTATCAGAAAAATCTGCAGTCTTTTAAAAAGAAAGTATCCCCAACATTTGTTAACCTCCATTTTATTGGGACTAATATCTCAAAACCTGGACTAATAAAACTCAAACTATTTGCAAGTTTTTCTCATTTCAAAAATAAAGATCTGTAAGGCGGAATTTGGAGGAAATGTGTCTAAATTAAGGCATTTAGAATATTTCCTTTTGACAGAATGGTTTGACAAGAAGACAAATTTGTATTGCTATATTATAGTGTGTAATTTTTCTGTTTGTTTGTTTTATGTTTTTTTTTTGTTTGTTTTTTCATTTAGGCTGAGCACACAGAGCTGCAAAGTTTTTCTTTTCTCATTCCAGTGCCAAAGACAATAAAATGATAGTAAAAAAAAATAAAGCGATCTCCATTTCTTAAACACAAATCATATGATTTAAAGACATTTGCTTTCTGACAAGTGGAGAATTGGAAACTCATATTCAGCAAACGCAGGCAGTTGAACTAATGCTGTTTGGTTGAGTTGCAGCATTAAGCAGGTAAAATTGGGTAAAGATTGGTTAATTAAGGCTGAGAATCTTGATGTAATTAGGAGCAGCAAAGATTAGTGGCCACCGATGGCATGAAAAGGATTTGCAGGTAAGACTTATTATTGGCGCTGGCTGAATGTTACTTTATACTTCTGAATAAACAAAAACAAATTAGGAGCAGTCGTCCAATAATGGGTTATCTTGTCAGGGGCTGACAGAAATCCATGCCCCTATAACACAGTGTTAATTTTATGCACCACTGACAAGCACAGTGCTAATCAATAACACTACTATAAAATAAGGTGAAGCATCAATCTGCAGTGAAGGTGCTGGATGGAGATGTGAGCAGATAGAAAGAATAACGTTGCTCCATCCATAATGAAGCCTGTGCACAGCATGTTACATCTAGAAAGACTGACTCAGCAGGAAGGCAGCAGTGAGAGCTGACTGTGAGCTGCTGCTTTTTGGCTGCTCTGTGAGATCATCCTGGTGTGTCAGAAAGTAATCAGATTATTTTCTAACAGTCCCATTACATACACTATATGGGGTGACCAAATATAGCCCATGGGCCATGTGTGGCCCAACAGCTTAATGTATATGGCCTGTAAGTTTTTTTAAATTAAAATTATATTAGTCTTGCTGACTACTGGTAGATGCAGTTCTTACTGTGAATGCTAGTTGTCACTATTACCATATGGGAATATCCGTAACAGGAGAAGCACTCTGCACCAGAGGATTGATTCAACTTCTTTACTCAAGCAAAGGGAAAAAGTATAGGCTCTGAAATGTACTCAAAATATAAAAGTAAAAATTATTCTCTTGGCTTCTCTGAAAGACATTTCTACTTGCTGTTTCTGTGATAACTAATTGAAACTTTAAACAGGGTCTTTGTCTATTGTCTGTTTTGTCCTGCATTTTATTTTTTTATTTTTGTTTTGTCATGCAAATGCATTAAAACTTAAGTAAGCCTGTTTATAAAGTGCAAGTAGGAAGTACAGATATTTAGAGAAAAATAAATACTCAAGACACCTGAATAACCCCAACCAGTCAAGGCACACAGCCACCCACCTAGAGCTAGGGTCTGCTCGAGGTTTCTGCCTTTTAAAAGGAAGTTTTTCCTTGCCACTGTCGCCAAGCGCTTGCTTATGATGGGAACTGTTGGGTCTCTGTAAATAATTTATATAAGGAGTACGGTCCTGCTCTATCTGAAAAGTGTCCTGAGATAACCTTTGTTATGAATTGGCACTATACAAATTACACTGAATTGAATTGGATACCTGAAAAAGCTACTTAAGTACATTAATGAAGTACTTACTTCCCACCTCTGCGATCTGAACAAATTGGACAAAAGCATGCAAGGAAAAGATGTGTTGCAAATTCATACACACAAGAAATCCTTTGATTCTCAAACACAGACATTTCCGTGAAAAAAACTGAAAAATGTGGTTGTGTTCACATTGCCAATATCAGAATTTAACCAGCACTTTCAATATTTAACCACAATTAAAAGGACGTGAACCTATTCTCAAAGCCTTTCTCTCTTGATGTGGAAAGAACACAGGAGGACATGTAGTTGGAGCTTACTGAAATGTAATATGATGATGTATTATACTACCTGATCTCCCCAAGTGAGGCTGGCCAAAAGGGATTCATGCACAAAGGATGCTAAGTTTATTTGGCTCTACATGCATATACATATGAGGGCAAACATTTTCTCTTGTGACACTAAACAAGACTGTGAACAGACTGAGGCTACAAAATGCAGTGTCTTTAGCAGTACATGTGTTTCATAAGGGATTTTTTCTTTAGGGAATTTGTTTTTGTAAGATAAAATAAATTAAAGCTGCAAGCAGTGATGAACGGGCCACCGCACTCCACGAAACTCAGGGTGTGCTGCGGCCGCGTCACGTGCCGTGGTAACACGTGCGGACCACAACATGAAAATTTCGCACTGCTTACTTCCTGTTGCCAATAGGTGGCGCTCTCACTATATCTGAATATTGTCATGTAGACGTGTTCAGGGCGGGACTCTTATCAAACGTGTGAAGTTTCATTGAGATTGAACCATGTACACTGAAGTTGTGAGTACTATCTGTTTTATGGCCAATCGGCGGAATTTGACACGTCTTCACAGGCACGCTTCGACGTATAGTCACAAATAGCACGACTTTTGATCATGTTTTTTAACTGTACTGAAATACAACACAAAAAAATGCTGAAAGTCTGCCAAATGCCGGAAATGGCATCACAGTTTCACATTCGATTCAACCTGGCCAACTTTGACGGCACGCCACGGACACGCCCTTCAACATACGTGCACAAATAGCACAACTTTTAATCAGCAACATACTTTGACTGTACTGACCAATTTTGAAGCAGATCCGATGAATTCCCTAGGAGGAGTTCATTCAAATACAACACGAAATATCACAGAAAATGACAAAAAAAATCTAAATGGCTGATTTTGATGCCACGCCACGGCCACGGCCACGGTCCCGCCCTTTAATGTACATGCACAAATAGCACAACTTTTAATCAGCAACATTTTCTATCTGTACTGACCAATTTTGAAGTAGATCCGATGAATTCCCTAGGAGGAGTTTGTTCAAATACAACGCAAAAAATCGCCGAAAATGGCTGCAAAATTCAACGTGGCCAAATTTGATGGCACACCACGGACACGCCGTTCAACATACAGTCACAAATAGCACAACTTTTAATCAGCAATGTTTTTTGACTGTACTGACCAATTTTGAAATAGATCAATCAATCAACGATTACATTTGTTCAAATACAAGAATGAATGTGCAACAAACTTTGCATAAGTTATTAGCCTAAACGCACTTTTCTTCATAGTAGCGCCACCTAGTGGCTGACCCAAAATCGACGCATAGAATATTAAATATTTCACCACTACTGACATGTGCGCCGCGTTTCATGAGCTTTTGAGCATGGGAAAGCCTCCAAATATGCGATTCAAAAGTTACTAAAAGAAAAATAATAAGAAGAATAGCCTTTACAGATACAATAGGGCCTTCGCACGATTTGTTCTCGGGCCCTAATAAGAAACATAGCAAATACAATAGGGACCTCCAGCGGTCACTGGCTCGGTCCCTAATTAACCAGTGAAGGCTGTAACTGCCATGGACACTGACGAACATGCATCAGTGTTAATTTGTTTTGGTACCAGGACATCAAATCAGTCATTTAAAGTCAAGCCTAAACAGTGCAATAACAATTTTACTGAATGTATTTTTGGTCTCTCTATATACAAATATTCCTGTTGTAGTAACTTGTTGTGCATCCAGCTTCAGTTAATTCCACCATGCAGATCATTCTCATATGTGAACATCTTTGTCAGGCATAAACTGCTTCTCGTTTTTTGAGTAATAACCCATCAATATCAGAAACACAAAGGTGCAGCCTCTCCTGTCTGCTCTCTCAGTGGCCATTGATTCTGATGGTGACCTTTGACCTGGCTGGTGGAATACTCGCTGAATAAAATCACCTTGTCTGTCAGGGAGGGATTTGCACTGGTGATCTGAACGACTGGATGCTGCTCCGTCAATACCAATTAGCAACTACTGCACACACCTGCAGATGTACAGCTCCTGAAAGATATCTTATCCGAGCTTAGCACAATAACTGGAGGCTGGGGGAAACTCTAAAGCAAAAACATTGATATTGCAAATATCTATAGCTATATTACCCTTTCACTGAAGATCCACTTACTAGCTCATTCTTGTGCTTTAAACTGCATCTCACAGTCTTTATTTAAAGTTTAGAGTGTGTTTCAGTTCAGCTGTGAGATGCTATTGAAGTCCAGTAAAAGTAATAGTGGACCTTGATATACATGCTCCTCTTGTGGACTGAGAACATTCTCCTGCTTTCTAGGCTAACAAAGCCCTTTTAAAATGTTCTGGATG